ACGTGGAACTCTCGGGCTCTTCTTCAGACTGGTGGGGATAAGGCCATCCTGAAGAGAAAATACGTTCTTTCTCTGCGTCCCCTCTCCACGATCATCGCCCTGCAGGAGGTGCACCAGGACCACTGCCAGCTTGTCTCGTTCTTCCGCTCGATCGCGTCGGGCCTCACGATCCACTCCAGCTTCCTCTCTGACGCAGATGACGGTCATCGGCGGGGTGGGGTTGCTGTGGTGCTCCCGCCGCTGGCTTGTCAGGGCCTGTCTGCTCCGTCCTCTTCGTCCACTGTTCTGGTGCCTGGCCGAGTGATGCTAGTCCGAGTTTGGGATGACTGCCGCGCGCTCGACATTTTCAACGTTCACAACCATGGCCTGTCCGCCCAGCAAGTTCGTGAAGTGGCTGCTGCGATACGAGTATCGCAACGTGCTGCCGCCCTTGACCCCGACATGTACACCACCTTCGTGCTCGGGGACTTCAATTTTGCCACGCACGAGGCTCTCGCGCTCGCTGCCCCCGCGGCGGCCGTGCGCAAGCTGTCGAAGTGCCACCACGTGCAGGCGCCCAAGTGGCGCCAGGCCCTCGCCCTCCTGACCGAGATCGCGTGCGAGGACCCCACGCACTACGAGAAGTTCAACGACTCGTGCGCGACGATCGACCGCGTCTTCTGCTCGATCACGGGCTGGCAGCTCTGCCAGCTGTTTGTCCAGATCGGCGCGCTTGGCTCGCCAGCGGCCGTCTTTGGCAAAAAGATCTCCGACCATGCTGCTGTCGTTCTCTCGCTTGCCTGCCGCCCACCTCGTCCTGTGGAGTCCCGCCCTATTCCCAAGCACCTGTTCTCTGAGCCTGGTTTCAAGCGTCGCCTGGAGGGGCTGTGCTCCTGCATCTCGTGGGACTCCATGTCGCCCCCGTTCAAGGTTGAAAAGTACAAGGAGCTTTTGAAGATTTCGGCCGCGGAGACCAGGGACGCCCTCTTTCGTGACAGACCACATCACCCCCGCACTTGCCTCCTGCTCGCTCGTGCCCTTGCCCGTGTGGTTTGGAGACAAGACCTGCGCACGGCTTCCAGGCTCCAGGACTCCCACCCCCTGGCCATAGACATGATATCGGTTACCAACGGGAAGGTCGAGATCCGCCATCCGCCATCTTTCCAGGCTTGGGTCGACCAGGTCCAGACTGAGGCTGCTGAGTCCGCGAAGGCTGAACTTGAAGATCGCAGGCGGCGTGAAGGTGACCGCGTCCAGATTCGTGCCCAGGTCCGCGCACTTGAACGGCGTGCTCGTCTCTGGTCCCCGCTCAACCGAAGGATATCGCTCTCGTCGGTTATCGCGCCTGACGGCTCAGCGGCCAGCGTCCCTTCTGATCGGCTGCGGGTACTCTCGGAGCACTGGGCCCCCGCATTCCAGAAAAAGCCGTGGGACTCCGCTGCTGCTGCTCCTTACCTACGCCGCCTTGCTCCTGACCTTCCTGCCGACCTTCACCTCCCTCCGCCGTCGAAAAACATGCTTCGGCGAGCGATTCGGTCTGCCCAACACTCTGCCCCTGGGCCTGATGCTCTTCCGTATGCTGCATGGGCGGCGTCCTCGTGGGGGGCTGACATACTGTGGGACGCTCTTGGTTGGGTTCTCAAGGGCCAGGAGTTGTTTGCGAACACTAGTGACGTGATCCAGATCTTTCTGCCCAAAAACGTCACGGACTTGGAGCTGCGCGATGCCAGCTGCTCACGCTCCCCAGACAAGGTTCGGGTCCTGGGCCTCAGGAACTGTGACTTGAAGCTCATCTCGTCCACTGTCAATCGGGCGATTCGCCCCGCCCTGGTCTCCCTTGCCCCGCCGTGCCAGCGTGGATTCATACCGGGTAGGAATTTCGGCAACAACATCCTCGAGCTCGACGTGTCGTCTCGCCAGATGTCGATCGTGCCTCACGGGTCCTCCGATATCCCTGTGCTGTATTCCCTGGACTTCGGCCAGGCCTTCCCGTCTTTGAATCAGGACTTCCTCATTCTCTCCCTCAGGGCCCTCAAGCTGCCTGAGGCTTTCGTGTCCTTCGTCACGTTCCTTTATGCTTCGGTGGAGGGGGTGGTCTCGCACCTAGGCTCGCTTGTGCACATCTTCTGGATCCAGAGCGGCATCATCCAGGGCTGTGCCCTTTCGGGCACTCTCTATGCATTAAGTACGGCTGTCTTCCTGGTCGACCTGGCGTCTCGGGTGGAGGCCGCTGGCCTTGGCCTTGTTCGGGCCTGTGCTGATGACATTGGGGGAACGCTATTAGCCATTCGGCACCTTGTTCAGGTATATCAGGTCATGAAGCTGGCCTCGGACATGGCCAACCTCGCTTTGAAGGTCTCGAAATGCAAGATTGTCCCGCTGTCTGACAGGTTCTCGTCCAACCTCTCTGCAACAGTCTCCCACTGGGTTTCCCATGTGGTCCCCGAGTGGAGCTCGTTCGAGGTGGCCCCCAAGCTGCTCTACTTGGGCCTCTGGCTGGGGCCTGCTGTTGTTCCGTCCACGTCGTGGATTGACCCCGTCGCCAAATTGCGTCTCAGGGCCCAAGCCATTGGGCGGGGAACCACTCCCGCCAGCCTTTCCGCGACACTGTACAATACGCGGGCCGTCACGACCATATCTTACGTTGCCCAATTCTGTTGGCCACCAGCGTCTGTGTTGCAGCCCGAGTTGTCGACGCTCGCGCAGGTGTTCCGCATCCCGCTCGGCACCTTCGCCCTCGACCACTGGACGCAGATCGCTCTGTGGGGCGGCCCACGCTGCACGCGGTGGGGGCACCTGGCCGTTGCCACCATCACGCGGGCTGCGCTGCTCACGTTCCCTGTCTGGGAGACGCTTCTCCAGCAGCTGCGGGACCACGCGAGCTCTGCCCCGTACGATGCCACCCTATCCATGCTTGCGTCGGGTAAGCCGTACCCGTCCTTCTGGCTGGCCCCCGCCTTTGTGGAGAATCTGGAGCTGGCTGCCGCGGGCACCCCTCCTCCTGGCCCTCTGGCGGTCTTCGGGGCTCGTGCTGCCGACGCGGCGCTGGCCGAACTTCGTGAGGGTGGCCGTCTTCGACCTCGTCCTCAGCGCGCGGCGCATGAAGCGTTGCGGGCCCTGGCGATCGGGAACAAGCCTATCACCGACCTCTTCGCGCTGCGCCTGAGAAAGTTTGCTGGCAGGTCTGCGGGCCTCCTTGCGCACATCGACTGGGGCGCGTGCAAGAGCGTCCTCGCCCGCTGCCCGTGTTCGTGGGCCATGGCAGTCATGCGCACCTGGTCTGATGGATGGGTGACCTCGGCCCGTATCATCTCACCTGACGGGCAGAAGCCTTGCGTTTTTGGTTGTCTTGGCAAGCTCGACTCGTTGCGACACTACGCGAGATGCCCCGTCATGCACCGTGCCCTGCGACAGGCCCTCGCGAGGCCGTTCCCGCTCCCGTGGATGACCAGATGGGGCCTTACTGAACCCTCGCTGGCCACCTTCTCGGCTATGGCGGCCGCTTACAACATGTACAACGAAGCGAGGATGGCGCCCGTGTGGCCCCTGTCCCCGTCCCTCCTCCGCAGTTGCGCTCTCGCTGGTGTACGTTCGATGCAGCTTGCGTCACCGATGAAGTGCACGGAGATCGACCGCGACCAGCTCGGCCGACGGGACTATCTCATCCGCAGCTCTTCGTCCTCCTCTTCTACGGGATCGTCTCCGCGGCTCACCCCTGCCGTTTCGTCGTCGGACACCGACACAGCCACAGCATCCACGGCCATCGCCACGATCCCGTCGGACTCCGACGCCGATGATGACATTCAGCTTCCTGCGACGCCGCCGGCTACGTGCTCCTCCTCGGCCTCGGCGACCTCCTCCCCGCCTTCCTCCGCACCGCCGTCGCTGACGCGCTCCACTTCTACTCTGAGGGCGGCTCCTCCGTCACCAATGGCGTTGAGAGCTTCATGGATGGCGTCTGCCTCCTCATCAGTGTCGCCGACGGCCACAATTTCGCCTTGTGCTCCGGTGTCGCCGTCCTCGCCAGCGACGCTCTCGTCTACGGGCTCGCTCCCCTCGTCGCCCCCCATCGGCGTTAGATCGCAAGTCCCGTTGTCGTGTTCGGGCTCACCGTCGCCTGTTGCTGGATGCCTCGAGTCGCCCCTGCTGGGCCCTGGCGTTAGATCGCAAGTCCCGTTGTCGTGTTCGGGCTACACGTCGCCACGCGCTCACTGCCTCGATGCTGAGCATCTCTCCTGTGGCGTTAGAGCGCAAGTCCCGTTGTCGTGTTCGGGCTCGCCGTCGCCACGTGATCGATGCCGTGATTCGGGACTCTGGTCCGTTGGCGTTAGATCGCAAGTCCCGTTGTCGTGTTCGGGCTCGCAGTCGCCACGTGTCGGACGAAATCCTGCGAACCTGGTGGCGGCTCGGCAGTCGGCGCGTTCCCCTCCTCCGATTGCCACGCGTTCTCCGATGAGGCCCTCTCCATCAGTGGCGCCGACGACTTCACTGACGCCGCCTTCGGTGCCCTCTGAGCATCCCGCGGAAAATGAGCGGCCTGCTATGCCTCTCCCACCGTCCCCGCTCGTCGCCCCTCCGATGGCCACCCTGGCCACGCCTCCCCCCTCGCTCTCGCGCAGCCCCGTGCCCTACGTTCATCCCTCCACCTGTCCTTCGCTCCTGAGCTCTGCCCCTGCTGCTGCTTGCGTCTCCCCTGCTCCCCGCTCGCTCCGCCCTCGCATCGTGCCTTCCGCCCCGAATCATAAAGCGGCTCCTCCGTCCAACATGACGGTGCTGGAGACGCGGCTCTGCAGCGTCTTCAACCGAGGCGCCCCCGCGCCGCCCCACGTGGCGCCCTAGGCGCCCTTGCGCCCTGCCAGACAGACCTGGTACGCTGGGCTCCTCCTCCTCCTCCTCCTCCTTCTCCTCCTCCTCCTCCTCCTCCTCCTCCTCCTCCTCCTCCTCCTCCTCCTCCTCCTCCTCCTCCTCCTGGGCTGTCCGCCCCCGGGAGGGCGGACCCGAGTCTTCGCCCCCACCGTCAGGTCTTCAGCGGCGGCGCGCCGAGCGCCTCCGCCCCGCCTCCGGAGCAGCCCGACCCCACGCAGGGCGGCGGCCGCTGAGCCGGGCAGGGCCGGCCCGCAGCGAGCGCTTCGGGGGCAACGTTAGGTTTGCAGTCAACCCGCACAGGAAGTAGGAGGAGGAGGAGGAGGAGGAGGAGGAGGAGAGGAGGAGGAGAGCAGGAGGAGGAGGAGGAGGAGGAGGATTAGAGGAGGAGGAGGAGGGAGGGAGGGATGGAGGGAGGTAGGGAGGGGAGGGAAAGGTATTGGAGGGGGGTAGGGAGCAGGAATGAGGAAGGAGGAGGAGGAGGAGGAGGAGGAGGAGGAGGAGGAGGAGGAGGAGGAGGAGTGGGTGGGGGAGCATTGCACGCACTCCAGCTGCCCACGTCTCCGACGAGGCAAGCTCCCCAGCGAATGTCTGTAGCCCCAGACCCCCTCGGGCCATGAGAAAAACAGAAAGAGCGTGTTCTACCGCTGCTGGCGGACAAGCGTTGGGGGTCACTGGGGGTTCCCAATCCGTCCCGCCACCCCCCTCGAAAACCGGGGGGTGTCACTACCGGTTCGAATCCCCCTCCCCCGGCCCATCATGAAAAGAGGGGGGTCACTACTGGTTGGAACCACCACCACCCCTCCTCGCCGCCGGCAAACGATTCCCGCTCCTCAGGACAGTTGGACAGTGGTGGGGACAGTTGTGGGGACAATGGGACAGTGGTGGGGACGGTGGTGGCGGGGACAGTAGTGCGGGAATAGTGCGACGGTGGGGACAGTGGGACCTTGGTGGGGACGGCGGTGGTGGGGACAGCGGCGAGGGGACACTGGGACAGTGATGGGGGCAGTGGGAACAGTGGGACAGTGGTGGGGACGGTGGTGGTGGGGACAGTGGTGAGGGCGGTGGTGAGGACGGTGGTGGGACAATGGGACAGTGGTACAGTGGGGACATTGGTGGGGATAGTGGGGACAGTGGGACAGTGGTGGGGATAGTGGGACAGCACAGTGGGACAGCGGTGGGAACAGTGGGGACAATGGAACAGTGGTGGGGGCAGTGGGGACAGCGGGACAGTGGTGGGGACAGTGGGGACAATGGGACCGTGGCGGGGACAGTGGTGGGGACAGTGGGGACAGTGAGACATTGATGGGGGCACTGGTGGGGACAGTGGAGACAGTGGTGGGGACAGTGTCGGACAGTGGTGGGGGCAGTGGGGACAGTGGAATAGTGGTGGCTCGATGGTGGTGGGGACAGTGGTGTGGGGACAGTGGGTCCGGGACAGTGGTGGGGACAGTGGGGACAGTGGGACAGTGGGTCCAGGACAGTGGTGGTGACAGTGGGGACAGTGGGACAGTGGTGGGGACGGTGGTGGTGGGGGTAGTGGTGAGGGCGGTGGTGAGGACGGTGGTGGGACAATGCGACAGTGGCTCAGTGCGGACAGTGGTGGGGACAGTGGGGACAGTGGGACAGTGGAGGTAACAGTGAGACAGCTCAGTGAGACAGCGGCGGGGACGGTGGGGACAGTGGGACAGCGGTGGGGACAGTGAGGACAGTGGGACAGTGATGGGGACAGTGGGGACAGTGGGACCGTGGTGGGGGCAGTGTAGGACAGTGGTGGGGACAGTGGGGACAGTGCGACAGTGGTCG